AAAAAAAAAAAAAAAAAAAACTAGGTGACCTTTCCCATGGATGATACAATCCACCTTCGTTAATCGAGATATCGCAAAAGAAACACAGTGGGTCCATTTATCTTAATTTATTCCCCAGATGTTCTGATAGAGTGATTCTGCTGTGATAAATTCCGGGGTCAGGTTTAGTTCTTTTCTTTGCATTCCCTTGTGCTGAGCTAGTTCCCATACAATGAGCTGAATGCAGCTCTAAAAAAACCAAAAAAAAAAATCTTACTTTCTTCCACTTCTCCCCCAAATTCCTCAGTCTGGGAGTGAGAGAGAGTACAATTCCGAATAATCAGGCCCCTCTTGAAAGCCTGTACGAGTGGAAAACTGGCTGAGTTTCTGGCCGACAACAGAGCACCTGCCAGACTGACTTATCCCGAGGTAATGTAAGAAGCCAAGACGTCATCGGTCTCTGTTTGCTGAACAGTATATTTCCACTTAACAATATATTTCCGTCCGGCCTTGTCTCTTCCACTTCAGCCTCCTCCTCTCGCACAACTACGAGAAAAGCCCTTGGTTTTAAAACTCAGGTCCATTTTCAGAGTGGGGAAGGAATTAGAAAAGGACAGGTCACTTGAGGAAGTGTTGCTTGTGCTTTAATTCATTTGAAACCAATAGTTCCTGCCTGTAGGCAAAAACTACAAGGTGACAATGATTTCCATGCAGACCTGCGACTGTCATTTCTTAGCCAAGGAACACCACAAACAGCAATTTAATGTTTGCCCAGTAATGTGAGCAGAATTGTGATAACTTCAATCGCTTCTAAATTGCGGGCCACACACTGTGCTTTTTGATGCTGTCTGTCTGATTTTCTGCCCGGTGGCCAATGCTTTCTTCCCTTCTTTGCCCTCCTACCCTTCATCTTTGTTTTCATTGTAGAAGCTTTTCTTGCAGCAGTAAGGCCAACAGCACCCCTTCTAGCAATGGTAGAAAAACGTATGTGTGTGCATATGCACACCTAACATGTTTAATAAATGTATAGAGGCAAAGATGCACATGGACACCCCAAAACACACATAGATACAGTCCTTGAGTCTTTGACCATTCTCCCGGTCTGGTGAGATTCTGCATGATTGGAAGGGAATGACACTGCAGTGACTGTCTCTTCTACTTCCTGTTTTAGTGGCACCCATAGATATGAGGAATGCTTAAGAATAGCCTCTCAGAAGTTCCCTAAGGTCATAATTGTGTTATCATTAGACTGAATAGCTGAGGTGCCCATGGACCCAGTGTGACGTGAAGGAAAAAATGGCTCAAAGTCACTTTCTTCGTCATTAACTCCATGACAGACGGTGCCCTCATTTTTCAACGAAAGTCATCTCCAAGGTTTTTTGATGAAACCTTTCTGTCCCACTGATTTCCCTTGTGTTCTTTGTATATCCATATTCTTATCCATCTATTTATTCCTTTATGTGTTCAGTATGGATTTATTGGTCATGTGTTTAGACCATTGAAGCCTTGTGCTTTATATCAAGGATTTAAAAATGTAAAGAAATACTCTGTTAACCCTCCAGGCCCTTAATCTGTCCAACAGAGGAAATGCTAAGGGTCAGATGTACCTGGGATACACTATGCTGTGATGAAAAGAACAACCCAGAAAAATGGGCTTGAACTTTGGCACAGTTAGGGATGGCAGCAAGGACTGGTGGAAATGTACACTCTGAATGTATACCCTTAAAAATATTGTTGGTTCCTCTCGGTATGTCTTCACTGAGACATAATCACACAGTTCCTAAGATACATGTTTTTCTAAGGTACCTTTTTTCAGCATTCTTCCACTCTTTCTAGTTTTCCCTTCAGTATCGTTTTCTTCTTTACTTCCTGGAATCTTGCTTATTTTCGCAAAACCACGTTGAATTCTTTTATGGTAACAAGACCGATTAAAGTCAGAAATTGTATTATTTGAAAGAATGGTCAAATTTCTTTCCTGGCAACTCCTTAGGCACCACGCTTCGTTTGTTAAATTCATTTCATTACGATTATTGTCACACAAAATGATAGAGCAGCTAGAATCTAAATAATGATTATGAGGACACACAGATGAACCCTCTAACATGGGTTGTGTGCATGAGCTTAGTTACCCTGGATTGTCCGGGGAGGTCCTGTCATCCTCTGTGTTTTAAAAAATATTCCAGAATTTTCATGAACTGTAAAAGAGAATGAGTTTTCCGGGGATAAGAGGAATATTCGTGACTGCCATTGAGTCACAGCTGTAACACCCTCAGAAGGACAGTGTTTACTTCCATGTTTTTAACATTTTTATTTATTTAAAAATTAGTGGGTAACATTGCATTTGCCACAGTTTCAAGCATACACACATTATGGAATGGTGAATAGCAATTAGCAAATGAGTTATCTCCCAGCGTTATCATTTTTTTTTTTTGTGGTAAGAATACTAAATATCCATTCTCTTTGCATTTTAAAAGAATCCAACGTGACATCATTCATTCTAGTCACTGAGGTATATGTTAGATGTCTTGAACTGACCCCTCTTACAGCACTGTAACTATATATCATTTGAGCACTATTTCCTTATCTCCTCCAACCCCTGAACTCTCCGGTCTCTGATAGAGACCATTCTACTCTCTGCTTCTACCAGATCCACCTTTATCGATCAACCCAGGTCATGAGCTGCCGTTTATCTCTCTGAATCTTCTTCAAGTTCATTTCATCTATGTTGTCGTAAGGGAAAGCCTCTATTATGGTTTTGGTTGAGTCCTTTATTCGTATGTGTGCCGTGTTTTTCATGAACCCATCCACGTATGGTCAGTGAGGCTCATTTGATATCTTGGATAGTAAGAATAATGCTTCAGTAAAAATGGGAGTGGGCCTACTTCTCAGAGGACTGATTTCCTTTCCTGTACCTACATAGCTAGCAGCAGTATATTCAATATTTTGAAGAACTTCCATACTCTCTTCCATATGGCTATATATCGCCACTAACAAAATCTAAAGTTTCTTTGTTCTTTCCCTGACATCTTTGTCAGAGAATTCAGATGAGAGAAATATAGGCCAACATACGCAGACTGCTTCTAAATTTGTTCTGTCCGGCTTCTCAAGTACGGGCTGCAGATTGCTTGCAGATTATCATTTCTTCCATAGAAACTTTCTCTTGAAATACAGATTATTGTTTTAGGTTGGAGGGTTGTTTAGATAAGGAGAAATAGTTAGGAAACCCCAAATCTCGGAAAGCATACACAAAATTTTATTTATAAAATCGCCCACTATTACATTATCTTCTGATGTCACAACTATGATAAACATTGTGCACATATCACTTAGATTATGTATTTTTAAAGAGTAAAGAAAATAGATACACATGCTTCAAAAATTGATATTCAGGCATGAATTTCATAATATGTGAAAAATATTCCAGGATATGACCACAGAAATGGGGTTCAGTAGGTGGGCACCGTTGGTGTGGAGTGACCGGCAGGGCAAATCTAACTCAAAAAGGCATGACTTCTTAGAGAAAATATTGGAGTTCAAAAGAAGATGAAACACAAGTGTTGTTTAAGAAAATTACTGCCTACTTATTTTGACAGTGAGTGAAAATGATAATTAAATTGTAACCGGGAAACATATCCTCAAATGTTCGTCCTAAGCTGGTCTGCAGTATGTTTGACATACACACACTTCATTGTGGTTCCCTGAGGACTTACTTTTTTGGCATGGTGTACATGGTCTTTTTAGCTGTCCAGAAAGGAGACCAGGCTCCTCATTCCTAAGGTACCAGTTGGTTTCCTTCCAGCATCATCACTGTCATCACCTAGCTTCAGGACCAGACCTTGGCAAGTGATACTCCTGTGTTCTCCTTGTGTCTAGAGGCACAGACAAGCTCAAAGGCGTTAATCATCCAGGGGCTTGGGAGTGCCTCAGGCTGGGGACTAAGTAACCTGCGGTAACCTAATGAAGGAGTGTGAGACAGCTCGCTCTTCTCTTTCAGGTGAAGCGAATTTCTGAAGACCCTCCTTGCAAGTGTCCCAGCAAGTTCTGCGTGGAGCGGCTCTCCCAAGGAAGATACCGAGTAGGAGAAAAGATCCTCTTCATTAGGGTAAAGTTTTATTTTCACTTATTATCTCGTTATTAATGAGGACGTTCTGGACCCGAACTGAGAGAATATGATGGGAAGATACCAAATAACTAAACAGGAAATTGTTTATGATGTTTGCACTAGGAATGAAGCTTCAAGGTATGAACTATTTTTAAAGTAGTGTGCATGAGAATGCATTACTGAGGACTTAATAAATAGAACTATGTCTTCTACATTTTTACAAACATACAAAGAGATGATAAAGATCAAATGAAATAAACAAAGGTATATTCGCTTTTGCTTAAGCATTTAGTTTCAAAGAAACCTCCCCAGGCTCCTCTCCTGCATGGGAACTAGGAATAGCATTGTTCCCTGGTTTTCATGCCTCCTGTTTTGGAAATGATCATCCTATGGGCATATTTTGAATTATTGCAACATGACTTCTCAAGAAGTCTATGTTATGGGCCCAAGTAAGGAGAATGAAAACATGATTAAACAGGGACTATCATTTCTTACTGAGTTTTCTGACTTAGAATAAAAGAGGGTGGATCTATGACTGATATTTTTATGCTTTTATTCATTTTATAAGGGTCCTAATTTAATTCAAACAGTCTTGGGTTGTAATAGATGGCTTAGTAAAGCAGTATTTTGGGTCTTTCACTAGGAATCTATTTTGTTAAATATCAAGATAATTTGATTTCTCAAAATAAGATTGTGACTTCTGCTAAGATTAGCAGTTCCTCTTTTAAAACTATTTTTGAAATGGAAAATATAGCACTGAAATAGTCCCAGAAAACTTCAGGAAGTAAGTATTGGCCTTATTTTTGAGTCATGAACAGAGTTTGAAGGATCTCATTATCTTCTCGTTTGAGTAAATTACAAACATCTTGCTTATTATTTGCAGAACAGAATGATTTCAATGTGCGAATCTAGCACAATCAATGAACATTTCTAATATATTGTAATAATGAATCAGTAGGAATTTTGTTGCTGTAACATTTTCTTAATTTCAGCTTTTACCCGAAACTCACTTATGTGACAGTTCTTTTTAAAGGCTCTGATGCACATATGTGAGGAAATGTTTTATCATAATTTACCTTTAAAATAGCATCAAACCTAATTTTAACCTAATTTTAAGTCAGTGTTTACAGAACTTTCTAAGTTCCAGGAGATATTTGCTGTTGAGCTTTGGAATGGCAGCAAGAGGGATTTAACACTATATTGTTATTAAAGACTGTGATGATTGTGGGTGAATAGACTTACTAGGAAACACGGTTTCCCAAGTCGCTTAGTTTATTGCTGTTCTTTATTGCAAGGATAGCATTTTGTCTTTAGCCAGACTTCTTGCTTCCACTTTACCACGTTAAATAAGGATGATTTAGAATCCCCATAGTAGAATGTTACCAGGCTGACCTTTCTCAGTAGAGAGTCTCCCTCTGAATATTGGGCCTGAGGGCCTAGAACCAACACAGAGGGCTTTATTACTTTTTAAAAGTTTCCTTTCTAGAATAGCAATGTTAATAGAACATATAATTATCAAATTAGATGGCTTTCTTTCTCACGTAACCTATTATCTTCAGGGAAATGTATATATTACATATGATTAATGTATCGGTGACTTATTTAGTGAATGTCATCTGCTCTAATGCATTATAGGGAACTGATATTTATTACTCAAAGAAGCCCCAGAGGTATTGGTTTTGAAATGATCTTAAGGTTCCTGTTGTGTGTCTTTATTACAGTTCTATATTTTTTAAGTTTGCATTTTTATGTCATATTTTAAAATGGGTGACATCATATTCACCTGGCCATGTTTATGTATATTGGTCTATCTATAAATGTACATGTAAAAAGTCATATTTGGTGTCTTAGCGTTTGTCCCCTAGCTTCCTGTCCATCCGAGGCAGTAATGTCTTCTTATTGTCATAGTGGACCTGTCCAATTCAAAGAACAAAGTAGTACCCTTTAAGTACATTAAGACTATTGACTTTACTCTTAAAGGTAACCCAATTACCAAAACATTGACTCAGAAGGAATTGCCCTTCTGCAAGTCATATACAAGGTTCTCTTAATAAGTCCTCTAACACAGTTACACTTGACTTACTCCTCTCAGTGTAAGCCAGAGTTAACATTATTATTAACCACCTTCCTGGGTCTGGTGACAACACCCAATGCCTTTACTTTTATCACTGTACAATTATGTATGTATATAAACATATATTCTCTTTATATACTTAAATGATAACAAGAAATAAAAGTTTTAAAACTACAAAAAATGTGTACAGATTTCAGTGAAAGATCCAGGAAGATATTTTCTATGTAGAGCAGGCTTTATCTGTTGATTTTTAGTAAAAATAAATTGTAAGAATAGATAGTTTCCATATATCTAATGTATATTTACGTGTAGAAACATCTGTAAGATTACATGGTCACATTTCTCTATATAAATAAATCTCCCTTTATAGGTAAGGACACTCAATCTCTACCTAAATATAAAAAAATCCTTCAGTATAAGGAAAACATCTGAGGTTTTTTACTTTGCTTTTATTCAAATGTCCTAATAATCCCCTGGCAAAGGGGAGTTTTGTTGTTGTTGTTGGTACCCAATCAAAAACAATTTCTCAAAGCCAGGTTTTTGCCCATACTTTTCACTGAGCCACATTATTCTTCAAACTATCAAATGCAACTAATTGGTATCTATATTATACAGATACAAACTTACTGTCCTTCAAGGTTACATGTATTTCAGTTACAGTGGACCCTTGACTTTACCAACTCAATTCATCAGAGAGCTGGTTGTAAGTCAAGTTGGAGTTCAGGCTCCCCTACACAGCCTCCAAAGTCTCTCTCCTGTACACAGGCAGTGTCCTTACAGAGACACTGGCCCAGGATTTCTCAATTAACCCCACATGGGAAAGGATGTTGTCTTGTTCCTTCCAGAACATTTTTGGGGTGAATTCTGTATGTGAGACCATCTGGAAGTACAAGCGGCCGGCATTCGGGTCATAACTCAAAACTTTGGTCATAAGTTAAAACTAACTAAAAGTAAATCTGGTTGTAACCCAAGTTGTTCATATATCAGGCTGCTCATAACTCGAGAGTCCACTATATTTTTTTGAATTTACTTGGTGAGGATAAAATCTTACCAGTTTCTGCAGTAGCAGAGTTTGAATATCTCCAATCAGTCATGATAAGTGTCTTTGAAATAGATTTAGGTGGATCTGGGGTGCAGTGTCTTGATTTCTGGAGGAAACAAGTAAGGATTTTCTCCTTCTTCTGCTTATTCAGTTGACTGATACCACTTAGGCTCCAGTAGGAAATCATCATTGTAAAAACTGAACCAGAAACATCAGGAACACCTTGTATAACAAGGGCTCCTGCAATTCTGATTGTGCTGAAGTTTGAAAATCACTGATCTTTAGAAAGAACAATGGAAGACACACCATAGTACAACATAGGTAGACTCACTTTATGTCTGCGGTACTACAAATGATTATTTTAAAAGTTTCATGTTTTGTTGAGAGAAAATGCCTTATATAAAATGCTCAGTGGAGAAAATGGCCCCCTAAATTTTATCCCCACACAAAATATCTTTCATAGGTATGATACGTTACTATAATTAAGACTTTCTAGAACAAGAATAATTAAAATATTTTTAATTGCTGAGGAAACAGAATTGTGAATGAACTAATTTTTTGTCCTTCATTTATTTCTTATGACTTTCTTATGATAAGAAATAGTGTGAACCAAGAGAAGCCAGCAAATGCAAAGTTGAAAATGAATCAAAGACCCTCTGAAAGTTGTCAGATTCATTAACTGACTTCTCATTTTAATGGTCATTTTTCTAAGCATCTCATCTTTAAGAACAGGGTAGGAAGATTTATTGCAGCTTTTGCACTCTTAGGCCTGGGAGGATTTTCCATTTGATTACAAACTTGGAACATATTTTTCCTTATCTTTTCTTCTCTTTACTGTTTTGCTTTTCCATTTTGAAAACTCACATTGTTGAGATTAGCCCCAGGAAAAATGCAAATATTAATCTACAGTCTGGATAATATGTTTTTCTTCTTTTCAGAGTGCACCGTCCTTCAGCCACACATTTGATTTATTTCTATTAATAATTAATGTTTTCACCACTTGGTGCTGCATTCCTTTGCAGCTCAGTGTTTGGGGACATGAAAATACCTTAATGTGATAAACCGATCTGGCTGAACTCTGCTAATGTATGAAATGATGCACAGGGCTCTGACGGCTGGAACATCCACGAGATAACATCTTTACACTTAGCAGAGTTGCTCTTGTGTTCCGGCAGGAGGGCTTCTAACAAAACAGCTGCCAGTTCAGTAGGTTGGGAGGTAGCTGACTTTTTGTGCAGCTGGTTTGGTCATTAATATGATGAATGGCTTTTTTCAGGGCATCAGAATTAGTCGGCACCATAACATTGAACATTGTTCAAAGTATATTCCGAAGAGTAATTGTTCTGGAAGATAGTCAAGACACAATTTGTAGAGACACAGTAGATTTTGAACGGGCTTTTAAAAAGATTCCCACTTCTGAAAGTTGACTTTGTTTACCTCCTCTAAACACTCAGGGTGCCTAACTACACCTTCTCATCCCAGGGTTGTCAATAACGGTGTTCTTCCCACTGACAGTTACGGAATCTGAGACACAAAAGCTGAGAATCTTCCCCAAGCCATAAGAAATTTATTGGTGGAACCAAGGTTCAACCCCTGGCAGTTTAACTGTTGAATTTATACTCTTTCGGACTTAAATAATACTAATTTCTCTGCCTGGAATTTCTTCCATGCTTGAACGTGTTAATGGAATCTGTAAGCTCCTACAAAGAATAATACTGGGTAGCCTTTTCCACATATTCTTAACCATAGAAAGAATGTTCCTCCCATCGATTATCCAGAGCATTTTCTTGGTCTTAGAAATCATGAAAACATATTTTGAGATAGCTACTATAAATCTAAGCAAATTTAAAAAGTAATTGGTAACAAAATTTATATCGAAGTAAA